GTAAATAATACTTTGAAATCTTATTGGCATGTCAAGGGGAAGCATCAATAATATAAAAAATATGTAACTAAATGAATTAACTTACCTTTACCTCATAGTCAGGCTAAAACCCACACAATTCTCTAATATTACCCAGCCCAAAGCCAAGCTGCATTGAAATACCTTTCTTGTTACCATTCTAAAATTTCAAGTAGTTCTGCAAAATTACCTTTGCATCTATAAATCTTGGTTGAAATGAGAACAATTAAGGAAAAAATGCCTTAAAATGAGCATCCAGAATTGGGGATTAATGTAAAAATGAGAGATGTGTACATCAAGGTACTCTGCATACTAAATACTTTCGTAATATGTACCCACCACAGTCCAGTGGTGCCAGACAGACTCCAGAGCCACAGCAATGAAGCTTCTAGATCCCTTTCTCCTCACTGCATCAATGCCTTCATCTCAGGACCAGAGCAGATACTAAGTCCCAATGACCTAATCTTAGTCTTAGGGCATTTTCTTCATTCTTTACAAAGGGGGAGAAAATGGAAAACAGTAACAGCTTGAAAAGACAATTTAAAAAATAAGGTCAATTTTCCCATTCGTTCCTAATTCCTGGGATAAATTATCTGGTAAAGAATGACTGATCTGACTTAAGGTTCTGACTTAAGCTGGTTTTATTTATTTATTTATTTATTTATTTTTAAGGATTCTATTTATTCATTTGACAGAGAGAGACACAGGGAGAGAGGGAATACAAGCAGGGGGAGTGGGAGAGGGAGAAGCAGGCTTCCCGCTGAGCAGGGAGCCTGATGCGGGGCTCGATCCCAGGATCCTGGGATCATGACCTGAACCGAAGGCAGATGCTTAACTGAGCCACCCAGAATAAAGGAGAGAGACCCACTGTTGATGAAGATCTCAAAACTAGCAAACATTCTGAAGCTAAGATAATAGTAATGTACAATGTACATTTTGGCTATTTAAATTGATCTAGAAATAAATAGCTATTTCCTTATTTTACCGTGAATATGTTTAATTAAGATGCTTAAATTCTCTGTGAACAGTGCTCACCTCTGTGATGTGGGGGGTGAGGGTATAGAAAAAGGGGAGGCATATTCACTTTTTACATTTGTGTATTTCTTTCTTCTTTTGTTTGTTTAAAGATTTTATTTATTTATTTATTTATTTATGAGAGAGTGCACGTGCATGGGGGGTGGAACAGGGAGAGGGACAAGCAGACTCCTTGCTGAGTGCAGAGCCCAGTGCAGGGCTCCATTTGGGGGTTCAATCTCAGGACCCTGAGATCATGACCTGAGCCAAAACCAAGAGTCAGACACGTAACTGACTGAGCCACCCAGGCGCTCCACACTGGTGTATTTCTTGAAGTCTGTTATTCTACCAAGTATCTGCTCTATGTGCAATTTAAAAATATTCTGCTTCTATCTAGGAACTTGGCTAAAAAACTTAACAGGGCCATTTTTCCTGGTGATCTGAATATTTAAAATTCTTATTCAGGATTATCACAGTCTACGTAAAGTAGAAAAGTGATTCTAGAATTTCCCTGATATAAATTTATATTTGTTTGTAACCCTCTCATAAATCACATACATAGCTTATGGCATAGACTGTGGTAATGGTTTCATGAATATATACTTACCTCCAAATTCATCAAGTTGTATATGTTAAATATGGACAGCTTTCTGTACGTGAACTGTACCGCAGTAAAGTGGGTTACAGAAATCTGACACCCAGGTTCAGGTGTCATATAAGATTAGAATGCACCAGGCTAAATCTTTTGTCACTACACTCTGCAATTTTCCAGACAGGTTCTGGCAATTGCAAACAAACCCTCTGATGGGAGCACAAGCCTGTGTTACAAGTTTGGACAGCTTTTAAAAACTCTCACAGAAACTTTTTGTTTCCTCACCTGTTGTTTTAAAACCTTGATTTCAGCCTTTTTGGGGGGATTTTTTTTCAGGCTAAAGCCTCCTGACTGGCACTGAAAGCATGGGGTCCCCACTTTGTTTTACCCAATACATCAGACCCTAAAAATTGGGAGCAGTTAATAGGGAGAAAAATTAATAATTGACAAATGTAAATTAAGGTACTGTTCCATGGAGAAACAGCTGACTTCTCCATGACCACATCCTGCACCCTCCTTAAAAAGACCTAGTAGATTCCACGGCCTTTTTTTTTTCAGTCATAAGATTATCTCACTAATGTTTATAGCAAATCCTTTCAGCAGATGCCTCGTAATATGCTCAGTATTGGGCTGAAGAAAGAAGGTGACAGTGACCTTTTGAGAACCTGTCACCACACCGCTACATCACATATGATAAAAGCAGTGATACTGACTTTCTCCCCTCTAAGCCCCAATCTATCTGAAGAAGGGTACAAAGGTGACCTCCTGAGGTCTGTGCTAATACCATCATTCTTTGATTCTATCTGACCGAAGTCTCTATAGATGTTTGACTGGTACATATAAAATCTAGTGAATTAGTGCCTCAAAAAGAAAAAAAAAAAAAAAGCCAATGAATTTCTTTCTATTCCATTGATAGTTACTGGCCTCCTGTTTCAACCTGACCAGTGTTTCAGTTTCTCCCCTGCCCCCCGCCCCCCCCCCCCCGCGGTGCCACGCATGCGCAGGACTACAAGAGGAAGTGGGTAAAGCTACCTGCAGCTAGAAGTGACTAGCTTGACGGAGGGAGGGAGGTGCTTGGGAAGAAGTGTCAGGCCCTACTCAGCTCCCCCAGGGCCAACAGGATCAGTATCTTGGAGCTAACACAGCTCATTCCTAGCACACTGGTGCGGAAGAGCAGTCTAGCCCTTCAGCACTGCATGTCAGGTCTGGGAAGCAAGAAAGCAACATTATAACCAGCCAACCCTGCTGCACTGTTTCCCTCAAGTCAATCACCGGGTATGATCATCAAACTACCAGCTTTAAAGCATGAGTGTGTGTGTGTGTGTGTGTGTGTGTGTGTGTGTGGTGGGGGTGGAGTGGGTGTTCTGAGTGAATTCTACCTTCTCTTTCTGCTTCCATACTCATTTAGCAAGACCTCTTTTTTTTTTAGTATCAAATTAAGGGAAAGTGCCATGAAGCGTAGCAGATCAGCTTCTGTCCTCAAGGAAATCTCTGTCCTATAGGGGAAATAAGACATTTGCACAAATATACATTTGTTGAATGAATAAAAGAATGACTGCAGCATGAGGTAAGAAGTAACACTTTCCAGAAAAGAGGTATAAATAAACTGCTATGAGAATGAGGCAGGAAAAGTTTCCCTCTGGACAGGTTAAAGGAATCATGAGAGAAGAAAGCATTGATACCAAATCTTGCAAGTCCTGTGTGGGACTCAGATGTCCACCAGGTATCCCCAGCAGGGCCAAGGAAAGGGAGTAAAATATCTGGCCATTTAAAAGGTACAGTTTGTGGGGCGCCTGGCTGGCTCAGTCGGTGGAGCGTGAGACTCTTGATTTCGGGTTCTGAGTTTGAGCCCCACACTGGGTGTAGAGATAACTTAAAATCTTTAAAAATATATATACAGTTTGTAAGCAAAGCTCTGCTAAAGAGAGATGTGGTGTGGGGTTAGGGAACATGGGAAAGAGAAAATTGGGATTAATAATGAAAACGAAATTGTACAAAAGTTCTATGATGGGTTTTTATTACTTTCCTCACTTCTCCTTGTATCAGATAATGGAGGGCCTGAAGAACTGTGAAAAACTTTAAAAACAACCCACTCCCTCCACAGAAAAGACCTTCTGGGTCACAAGCCAGTCCCTCTGTCACCCTTGAACTGTCAGCTTAGACATTTCCCTTTCCCAGAGGAATTCCGTGGCTTAGGAAGCTTCGGCTTATTACCCATGTCCAGAGCTTAGAAGCAGTCCTCTACCCTACAGAATCCTATAACCTGCTTTAGCTAAGTCCAGTTCCCTATTCCCCAGTCAAGTGGGCAGAAAGAGAGCCGGCCTCCCCATGCCTCTGAATTCCTCCAAATGCTTGAGAGATTCACCCGGTCGTTCTCTGTTTCTGAAACCGACATGGTTTAAAAGTCACGGTTGGAAAGCTGCACCTATACAATGCCATCTTTTCCTGAAAGAGAAAGTCATTTCTCCGCCTATTTCAAGAGGGTCATTCCCGCCTATTTCAAGAGGGTAAGGAGCTTCTGCCTCATGGCATTCTCGGACAGGAGGTGAAAGCAAAGTAACAAGAACCCTGCTGGGGAACATATTTTAGCTAGAGGTAGAACGTCGACAGTACGAGTTGTGATATCAGCAAGAAGGTACCACACATAGTGACAGTCATCCCAAAGAGTAAGCCTGCCATGCACCGTGAATCTGGAGCTGAACCCCTCCTACGTTCACCTGTCCCGGGTCTCCCTGCTTGAACCGTGCTGAGGCAGCTTGGAAGAGCCTTGCTAAATATTTTCTTGACCCGTCTCGTGAGGACGGGGAAAATGCTGAGAAAATGAAGCTGCAGAACCCACGAGGTGGCCGCACTATCCTTCAGGGTATGGAGGAGCCAGACCGTGACAACCGGGAGAGAGAGGGCTGCGTGTACTGGAGTGACTGGGTGTTATCCTTGAAAAGCAGTGAGAATCAGTCACAATCTGAGCTGCCCAAACTGGCCCCTGACAAAAACAACCCCCGTTTGTGTGACTTCAAGGAGACTGAGTACACGGGGACAAGCAGGTGAAATCCATCAAAGAACTGGGGGAGCCCCGTAACTGTCGTGAGCATAATGGGAGCTCCCTGACTCGGGCATGACAGGAGAGCTGTGGTAAGCACAGCCTAGGAGGCAGTGATGACGGACCTAAGCCGCAGGCTGGCTCCCCAGAGCAGCCTGAGTGACTCCCTTGGTCCCCAGAGCAGTGTATACATGTTGGGGTGACTTTTGCCTTTTCTATAAGTGGGACCAAAACATCCACTTGAATTCTTTCATTTGTATCATTCCTTCAAGTGAAGTAATTTGGTACCCACCCTCCCCGACAAGACAAAACAAAAAACAAAACGGTGAGTGCTACCTGCCATCAAAGAAGAAGAACTTGCCCCGTCCGTTCTTTTCTCCGTGAACAAAGTTCCCCTCAAATCTGTCCGTGGAGGAGTAAGTGACCGTGCAGAAGCCATGTGGTAATCCATCATCATCCAGGTGCCCTGGAGAAAGGGAATCACAAGGCAAACCTTAACATCTTCAACACGTTCCCACTGATATGTCTGTGCTCAGATCCTGCCCGCAAACTCCCTGAGCAGCCAAAGCCCCCCCACCCCGCTCCCTCTCGGGGGAGAGCGCCTGCCAAGCGTTCTGTGCCTGCATCAGCAGTATCAACTTGTCTGTTATGTACACTTTGTGAACGGACAGGGGCCACAGTAGAGGGACTTAAACACATTTCAGACAAGGGACCAAAAATGAGCTTGCATTTTACTGGGAACTACAAGTCATTACCAATAATAACATCTGCATGTTTCCATTTACCAAGTACTTCCCTACATGGCACTGCTCATATTTGGAATCAATGCCCCCAACTCTCTTGCTTAATTGAAATGTGATTGAGATAGCACCATTTTATAGTCTACTGTAAGGTACTTTGTCTTTGCAGTAAGTTACCTAGTTGTAGAACTCAGTATACAATATGATTTTATAAATCATTATATAGTATGATGTGGAGGACTGCTAGCCGGGTGACTTCTGAAAACCTTTGCTCTGTGTGCTCACACAACAAGGGACATAGCCACGTCTCTGAAACTGCCCTAATATTTATACACCTCACACTGTACTCACACATAAACTCACAGTCCTTCTAAGCCTGAACTTAAGCTTAACCTTGAACTTACTGCTTTCCTTTACAATGTCTTTCAGCCTTGAATGTTTAGTAATAACCTTGTCATATACCCTCTACCACTACGTTCAGAGGGTTTGTGCTTTAATGCAGCTGCAAGTATCCACGGGGCCATTTCAACAGTGATTTTGAACATCAGCAGCTCTTATTATACTGTGATCTTTAAACTGCTGGTTCTTCCTGGGTCACAGACCGGTATATTCCCATATTTATGTTTATAGTCAATATTTAGGTTTTTATTATTATCTACATATTTCACAAAACCCAGAAGTCACCTCATTGGTATCTCCCCAATTATTCTGGTGAGCTAATTTTATGGAAGTGGGTGAAAATGAAGGCAGTAGTTAATCTCTTGGCTTTTTCCTGGGTTAACGACCTGGGTCATGGATGTAAAAGGTATGAAAGCATTAAACACGGTGTGCAATGCAGGAACATTAAACACTTAAATGAGGCTTCCAGATGGCTCACAGACATAAAAGAAAACACAAACCATATCACCACAATGAATCCTTTAGTCTCCTAAAACGGTTTCTTCTAACATGATTAAAAAAAAAAAAAAATCCCTTAGAAGAGAGGTTAAGTAAGTGTTATTATGAAGAACAAAAAAGCTCTTTATTTGTGTTATTGATTACATAAACATAAAATAACAATGAACAAATACACTATTTTATTGCTACATCCGACTCTGTATAGAATGAATTACCTAGAATATGACAATAAAACATGACTACTTAAATCACAATCAATATGGTTCCTTTCCTCTTAACACAAATTTTTTTCTACAAAGGGCCAGGAAATTAATGGTTAGAAAGCAACTAGGCCATAATTGCTTTCTTCTAACTCAAAAACTACTTATTCATGGCATATTCAATGATACTTGAGTCATATGAAATCATTTGGACAATTATTTTCTAAGTAGGTACCGGTGACATTTCTCTCATTGAAATAAATGAAATATACCTTTTTTCCTTTCATAAAAAGACCCATCCCGTGTATAGCTAAAAGCTTGCTTTTATGAAATGTTGGGATTAACATTTCTATGAATTTAGCATTCTACTTAGAATTTAGGTGTAAATATCAGAATAATCATTTTAGCCTTATATTGAAGTGCTCACTAATTAGTTGAAAGTGTTTTCCCCACAGAAAACAGTTCACATATTTCAGACTTGAAAAAGTTCAAGTTTGATGAAATTTCTTATTGTACTTTTAGATCAAGAGAACTATTATGGTAAACATGAGCACTAAGGGAGAAAAAATCCAGTGTAGAAATTTCAATTCCACCGTCCCTCATTCACAGCAGTCCTGTCCTATTTCTGAATAAAACATTGCAGGTACATCCCCAGCAGCGGAAAATTAGAGAAAATTTAAAGTGTCATGTGGACACTTAGCATGGAACATGCTAAAAGCCCTTGAAGGACAGCACTGATCCCAACTGAGATGAAAGCAAAAACGTCAATCCCATTCCATGAAGGATGCTTGTGTCAATGGGTCTTTCAACAGGCCAGTGAAGAGTTGTCCCATCACCTACTTAGTCTCTAGTGAGAGAGGCACAGAGAATGCAAGCCATTTCTTGGGTGACACTGTGTTTGGAAAGATGCGGATGTGCGTTGTTTCCATCTCCCTCTATCAGTCCACAGCAGGCCCCCTCTTGTTGGCTTGTTTGTTTTGTTTTCCTCTCATCTTTCCAAAAGGAGGACGATGTTATCAATTAACAGGATCAATTAAAAAGAGCAAGAAATTAAGGGTTGTGATCATTCGAGAATTCTACCCTGAATATTTAATAGCCTGGAGTGGTTTTCCTAGCAGTAGAACCTTGTATCTACAACCACCAAAGCAATAACAACAACAAAGAGACTTTCCAAAGAAAGCAATGTAGGGAAGAGAAGAGATTCGGTTGTTATGCCCTCACACCTCCTTTCAACATTAGTGCTTCTATAGATGATCTTCTGGTATAGCTCTTGTTCAAACACCATGTGGATAATAGCACCATGGAGTAGTTGTCTGGTCAGTATTAGTCACTTAATATTGCTGCTATACAGAGAAGAAAAAAGTCTGCATACCTATTAGGAATCTGGCAATGGGTAACATCCTTTCCTGTTCTCTCAAGTAAACCTCCCAACAAGCCCCCACACTCCAAGCTTATTTCCTCATCTGAGGAAGCCCACGCCTTGCACCCAAGAAACCCATTAGCCACTCCGAACGTGCTAATGAATACTGAAAGCCCCTTCCCCAATTCTTTCAATCTTTTTCCCTCCAGATAAGGGCAAACTAGCAGCATGCCCTTTCTTCCCTGCTGCTGATGGAAGAAGGTATCACTAAAGAGAGAGGTATCCTGGGGACCCAGGAAGAGCAGTGGAAGAAGCCTTTGGAGTTAAGGTAGTTCTCAAAAAACCACCAGGATCTCCAACAGCAAATTCCTATCCCTTCCAAGTGTTACCTAACTCCAAGAGAAACACTAGTCCTCCTTGCTTGGATTGAGGTCAATTTGTAAAATGCTCCAAGTCAGCCAACAGCCTTCTGGGCCAGTTCCCACTAAACAGAGATTGAACACCACTCAGACAACAGGAAAATTCACTTGAATGACTGTTCGGTGTTGATAATGCTGCCCCAGCTCATGTGTTGTAGATCGGTCCCCAGCGTGATTTTAAATATTTACAGAGGTTAGAGAAGGAAAAAAATATAACAGTCTCATACCTTTACTTTTTCACTTTGTTCTAAAGATCATTATCTATTGAACAGATAGCAAGTTAAAATTTCCCCCTCAAGTTACCTCTGAGCTTTTTTTCTTAACCTGATGAGAGCCAGGCCTGTATTCTGCGCAGTGCTGGTCCATCTCTGCGAAGGAAATTCCCTCTGGGTCAGACACCCGGCTGCTGACTGCCTCAGGCTTACCCAGAGGAGATCTGAGAGTAGGGCCTCTGTGTGTGTGTGTGTGTGTGTGTGTAGTGTGTTTCCTTCAGAACAAGAGACCCTTACATGCACTGTTGGTTTTATGGAATAGAGCTGCTTAAAAAAGTAATATTAATAAAAGGCGAACTGATTCTGTCTAGTGCAAAAAACATGCCCTCACGATGATGCATTTACACTGGTTGTTAAAAACATACTTTCATTTTTGAGAGTAATTCTTTGTGAGAGCTCAATGATTAGTTGTGAGGGTCATAATTTTAGTGCGTGGCCCACAGGGAGGGGGTGGTGCCCGTGTACCTAGCATGCATTTTTCCTAAGTACAGAGCATGAGCCAGCCTTGTTAGAGACAGGCAGGATAAGATATTTGGGGGACTTAAAAATATTTTTAATATTTTGAGGAGCTTGGGGTAGTGGAACACTGATTTGTTTGTTTTCATTCTGGCTCCTTATTTCCAGACATTCTGATACTTCCTTTTTTTTTTTTTGAGTAGCTTTCCTCAGCGTCTCCTATATTTTTCCAAGCCTTCCCATTTTTTCTTGCCTGCTTAACCACATATCTGGATTATTTCAAAGAACCTTCTCGGTGATCCCTTATCCTGCTCACCATTGCTGGCTCATCTTCCCAGAACAGAGCTCTGATCCTGTCATTCCCAGCTCTAAAAAGCCCCCGTGGCCTCCCATCACTTTCAGTACACAATCCACATTTTCAGCCTGTGACGCGGCCTCTTCCCCTGTCTTACCCTCCACTTTTCTCCTAGGCCCCCTGTTCCGGCAGGGCCAAGTGATTAGTCTCTGAATGTGCCTCCGTAACGACAAGGTGCCAACCTCTGTATTCACTCACTGAGGCCCCATCTCAACTAGAATCAACTCCATACCACCTCTTCTGGGAGATCTTTCTCCATCTCCCTCCCCAAGCTAGAAGTAATTTTTACTTCCTCTCAACCACCATAATTCATCTGTTTGGATATGACAGACCTATTTAAAATTATAGTAGGGACCCCATTGTATTCATTTTTGTTATCTATGGGTAGACACAGCAATAAATCTAGTAATAAACACCACTTCCTCCTGAACCAATGAGCCTGGACGAGTTTTTAAAAAGCCACAGCAGGATCTCAGGCGGCTTTCTCGGGCCCTCTGAGGCCCAGGGCTTGCTGCCTTCCCGAAGGAGCACAGCCAGCAGGAGGAAACAGTTACTCCCTCCACTGTCCACCTCCCCTCGGGATTCATCCACTCAGAGCCTAGAACTTCACCCAGGCTACGGTTCCACCCTGACAGAGAACCAACATTTCAACTCTAGTCCTGCAAAGACCAATTTCTTCCCCAGGGTAAATTGCTAAGGAGGAAGAAAAAGGAAAAAGGATGTCTGTTGGAGAGGCTGTAAGCCAAATTCTCTTTCCCCAAATACATTTTTCTGACAGTCACTGAACTGTCAGAATCAAACTCTAGAGCAATAAAGACTCATACTGACACAGTACTTAACTGTTGCTTCCAAACTCAATTACCAAGTATTTCATATATTTGACGGACTCACTAAAAATTAAAAAAAAAAAATAGGAAAAATGTAGGGAGACAGTCTGGTATGGTGGAATGAGGTTCTGGAGGTCTAAGCCTGTTCCCTACCTCGCTGAGTGTCCCTGGATTCGTTCTTAACTCTTCCATGCCTCAGTTCCCTCCCCTGTAAAATTAGGATAATATTAGGGCCCACCTCATAAGACTGAGTGGATAATGTGTGTGTGGAACATTTAGCCCAGAGCCTGAACACAGTAAGAACTAAACAATTATAGCAGTGATCATAATAGTGAAGACAACTAAACTGTGGAGACCAGAGGCTCTGTTTATGGAGAGAGGTAGGTGATACTTCAACACCAAGATACTCAAACTAGCCTTTTACCAGTCTCCCAAGGACATGTTAGATGATAAGCAAAGACTGTTACAGACAGCACTAAAAAGGCCAACAATGGCTAGAGAAAAGCCCACTGGTACAGTTCACTTCGTGTACACACGCAAGCTCTAGACACTGGGAGTTGGAGCCTTAGATGCTTTTAAAGACTCTAAAAGAGTCTGTGCTACTCTTGTTTACTGTCAGGTACAAGTGAGTGACCATGTGTCCTGGATTGCCCCCAGACACTGATGGCTTAAACTAGTTGTGCCAGCATGAGTATTAATAGTGACCCCTCTCACTCTCACGCATATTCTAATTTGGGACAATAATGTATACGGTTTGCCCTATATATCAGATTCTTCCTTGTTTGTATAAGGAACTATCCAGTGGACAACCTCAAAAACAACAGATATATTTCTAAAGCTGCTTGTTCACATTCTGCAAGGAACCCAGGGATCACGGACAACGGGGCCTTAGGTTTCTAAACAGCTTCCAAAAGGAATGTGGTTTTAACCTGAGGAGCACTGCCTGTGATCAAGGGTTTGCATTAAATGTTTACAAATAAATTTTTACAAATAAAAGTAAACTTTGAAGAATGAGAACAAGCCCTAACAATTTGAAAAGAGCACATTTTTCATTTATTTTTCATAACACGAAAGCACAAGTCAATAATTTAAATTAAACGAAGGCTTCCAATGGACCCTCTCAATCACTGTCTTTGGGGTCCCCAGAAGCCCCCAAATTTGCTTATTAGATAAATAGTTCTGTGAATTCACAACACTGTGAAATTAAAACAACCACCACCACCACCGACACTCTTTGAAGCTGGATAGAGAAATAAGTTTTAACAGTTACATCAGGATGGGTATCTTCCAGAGAATTCAGAATTATTATTATACTTAATCTCACCGTAAGACCTCAAGATCACGAATTATGTTTTATAAAAATTGATTTCTTCTCTATATATCCTTATGCATTTGCACAGTGTTGCTACTTTATTTTGCTTTACCTTTTATAACCGCTTCTTTATACAAATTAGATAGAAACCAGCTTCAACCAAAAGCTTAACATTATTTACTTGGACACTTGGTTTAAAATATTCTGGAATAATACCACACAACATTGCAAAACATCACGATGTACTGTCTGGGGTGGAATCAAGTAAGTAAACACGCTAAAGAGTATTTTCCCGTATTCACCGTTACAAAATCCTAACATCCCCTGATACAAACAACTAGATTGTATAACGTCCCCACCTCGCTTTTTAGAACTAGCAAAAAAAGAGGTGGAGAAACTCAGCAAAACAAAGTGGCGAGAAAAGTCGGGGGAGGGGCGCTAGAAGAGAAGGGGCGGAGAAACACGACACCGAGGCGGTGATATCACCCACAGCCAACGGCATGGAATTCAGAAAGTTAAGTGTCACCCAGCAATTTCGGTCAGGGCTTGCGGCGCGCCTGCACAGCGTGGCGGCGGCGGCACCCGAGCGCGGAAGCAGGAAGGGGGAGGGGCGCTTTGCCTGAGTTCGCTCGGGGGCAGCGGAGGGGAAGGCCACCGCCTCCGGGGCGGCGTGCGTTCAAGCCCCGGGTCGGGAGCGTGGTGCGTTGCCCTGCAATGATTTCATCTTCTCGGAAGAGCGGCCGCCGCGGCCGCGGCTGCCACGTGCCTGAGTCGGCCCCGTGCGCTGCGCCGGGGGACGGACCCGGACGCGGCCGCGGTCACCGCAGGTCGCTGCGGCGAGCGGAAGGAAAGGGCTGGCGGCCGGAGAGGGGCTCGGGTTGCCAAAACCGGGCGGGGGAGTCGCTCCGCCGAGACTGCCGGTCTCGGGGGGGCTGTCCTGCGCACCCCCACCTCCCATCCCCGAAGGCGGGGAGGCCAGAGTGCGGGGCAGGTTCGCAACCCCGAGGGCGGATGCAGGCTGTGGCCCGGCGGGCCGGAGCGGCCGGACCCTCCCGGGGGCCCCGGCCCGGCAGAACCCCGTTCCCGGCCTGCGCCCCGCCGCGCAGTGCGCGCTCCCGGCGGCGTGGCCGTGGCCGCCCGGCCCGTGCCCGAGCCGGGCAGCGGGCCACCCGCGTAGGGGACAGTGGCGGCCGCGGGGCCCGGCGCCGCGCGGGTCGCAGCCCGCCACTCCTTCCGCGTTCCAAGCCCTCGGCGCCTCCTCCCCCAGCCCCAGAGAAACGCTGTACCTTCCACCGCCTCCTCCACCATCTCGTCGTCGCTATCCATGGCGCCTGGGGACCGTGCCCAGCTCGGGGCCGCGCGGCTGCCTCCCGTCCGTCCGGGTGCTCCCGGTGGCTGAGCGAGCGCTGGGGCTGAACCCTGCGAGTTTGGAGGAGGAGGAGGAAGAGGAGGGGCAGTCGGGGCTGGTTCGCACTGCCTCCCCCTACAGCCCTTTCAATTCCTTGGTCTTAAGCTGCTGCGGCAGCAGCCGTCCCCCCGCTCCTCCCTTCGCCCGCTGGCCCCTCGTCTCCGATGCTCCGGGGTGCCGCCGTGGCCGCCGCCGCCGCTGCAACTTTCTCCTGTAATACCCTCTCTTTGTTATCGAGCAGATGATCCGCTGACATCACCCAGCGCCGGTGCGCTCCCTCCCTCGCTGATTGACAGTTCCCTGTCCCTTCCCAGAAGTAAGGCTCCTTAAAACGAAAGGCGCTCCCGGTCCGCGCTGACTCTGCGCCCCAGCCAGCCAGCCCCCGGGCCCATCAGGGTTTATCTTTTGCTTCTGCTCGGCTCGGTGCGCTCCGAGCGCGCCACGCCGTCCTGTGCACCCGGCTTCTCGTGGGGACTTGGGACCTCCGGGGTACCGCCCTCAGGGGGCTCAAAACTCCCGACCTCCTGCTGTGCCGGGGCAACTTGGAAGTCCGCCGTGCAGAGCCCTCCAGCCCCGTCTTGGGACAGCCTCCCAAGAGCAGGGGAAGCCAAGGCAGCGTTTCTGACGCTCCAGCACCTCAACTTCCTCTCGCCCTCGCCCCCACTTCACCCCGTTTGCCACCCGGAGCTGCACGAGTGCAGCACGCAGGGGAGCGCAGGTGTCCCTGCGTCGCCGCATCACATCCGCGAGCAGGTTTCCCGGACTCAAGGGGGTAACATCCAGCCCTGATTCCGCCGGACTGGGGCCCCCACCCCAGCGCGCCGAGTCCCCACCCTCCTCCGGACTGTCAGGCGGCTCGGGTGATTCAGAAATTCAGCAAATCCCAATGGCAGCGGGCTCGTTATCAGGCAGGAAACAAGCCACACGGAAGGCCCGGCAGGTTCCTCCTCGTGGTTGCGGTAATGGAAAAGGAGCCACCGAGCGGAGCTAACGAGGAAGGACCCTCCGTCTGGCGCGCCTCCTTCTCGCGCCTTCCGCCCTGTACGTGTGATGCCCCAGTGCCTCCAAGTGCCAACCGCTCCATAGATTCGGGCTCTTCAAGTGGAGAAAATCACGGGGCACCCAGTTCCCGGCCCAGCCACTTAGAGTCATTATGGCATTGCCTCTTACAGGTGGCGGTAAAGGGCGGCTGTAAATAGCTGGTTAAATGGATGCAAATGTACACAATGTACCGTGGAATTACAGGGTGCTGCTCTGGGCATCTGCCAAGAACAGCTACTGCACGGGAGGAGGGGACAGGAGCGAGCGAAGAAAAGTTGTTCCATTTTGTTTTCTGAACAACGAGTGAGACTTTGGGGATTTCAGAGTACTTCCAGCACCCGGGCGACCACGCCTTGTTTTTGGCTTTGTGCTTAAGTGCAAAATATTTTTATCGAGTATTGTGAGTTTCTTCTTAAATTCAGTTTTCCCTTTGTGAAAAAAAGAAGTGTTAGGGACACTCGTTCCATACATTACCAGGAATTTCAATTCCTTTTGACTGTTTTAGAAACAAAGGGAAGGGCCCTGGACCAGGAGTTAGGACACTAGGGTTCTGGTGCTGCTGACCTGCAGAGGGGCCCTGGGAGCCCCCCCTCCCCTTGCCAGCCCGAATTCCTCCTCCGGGAGATAAGAGACTTAGGCTAGACGACTCTGAGATCCCCAGCTTAGGCTAAAGCACTCAGAGGTCCCTTGGCTTAGGGTAGACCACTCAGAGATCTCCCGGCTTAGGCTAGACCACTTTGAGTTCCTCTTGCTGAGGCTATACTGACTGGTATAAGGTCCCTCCAGCTTAGTCTAGGCCACTCAGCGGTCTGCCATCCTAGGCTTGACCACTCTGAGGTCCCACCCCAGCTGAAGCTAGATTACTCTGAGGTCTCCTGGCTTAGACTACACCTCTCTGAAGTCTTCTGGCTTAAGTTTAACCTCCTGAAAGTCCTCCAGTGCAGATACCTGAGCTTTAAAGCTACACAGAGGTGTTGCTGCAGTGGAAGATGAAAGAGCCACTCCGGGTTACATCATTTTCAAACATGAACCGTAGTAAGAGGAGTTTATTTCTGATTTTTTTTAAAAGCTATCAGGTACTGAACTTGGTCACTCACTGGTTTTGAGTTATATGGTATTTGTTCTTATTTCCCCCTTTGCAAAAAAAACGTAACATTTCCTCCCTTACGTATTATATGGATGCACAAAAACACACCAGATACTCATCTTCTCCAGTTTCCAGTTTACCAGGGGGCAAAAAAAAGATGCTGAAAGCTATAGGAAGCAAAAATAATTTGTTCCTTTACTCAAAGGGAGCTAAAGCAGGGGACAGGTGGGTTGGAGGAAATCGCCTCTCACAACACACAGGTGGAACCACGGGTAATAAGTTTATGGTGAGCGAGTATGTGGGGGCATGGGGAGGAATCATGTCCCAAGTGTCCTGCCCCTAACTTTAGGTTCAGAGGAGGATGTCCAACTCTCCCCTGGTGCTGTGAGGTCCCACCTCCCCCCGCCCCCCCCCCCCACTGTCAAGTGCTCACTTTCCACCTGCTACTTTGAAAGCACCTGGAACCCTGCCCATGGCCCCTGTCACTGAAGCAGGCCTTCTCTGGACTGTAAGGGTGGGGGTGGGGAGCACCAGGGCCTCCCTGTCAGAACGGGCTGTAGGGAGTGAAAGTTCCCTGAGAACCTTCCTCAGATTTGCACACAAGGCAGGCAGCAGTGGTGGGGACACAGCCGCAGGCCCCGTCCCTCTACCATTCATCCTTGCTGGCTCTGGGCCCAAAGTTTAGGCAAAATTATTTTTATGGTTCCCTTAAGATATATTTACATTTTTACAAATCATTCCGTGTACGTTTTCGATCGTCTTCTCTAGACTGATTCTTATTTGTAGCTCCAGAACCCAACACGGTGCCTGGTACAGAGTGAAGGTTAAGCCTTGTCCGTGCTGATTTTGCAGACAGGAATATTTTGTTTTATATAAACAGTGCTGAGTCTCCCAGACTGGATCCTCTTCCTGTGTTTTGGCAAAGTGCTTTGTTTTAGCTCAAGTCTGAAGAGCGATTTTGAGTTGTTCTACTTTCCCACATCTACTGGCCCCAAATCTGCATCCATTGCATTCTTTCCCACAGTTGCCTTCATTGAGAGCTCATGTCATAAACCCTCTTTGCACTTGGCTCCCCGCCATTCTCCTCTGTCGTACTCTGTCCCCACCAGTGTGGTCACGGGCTAGAAAATCAATCAAGCTCTTAATCAGCATGTGCAGCGGTGGCAGCGCGGCCCGGCTCCTAACTCAGCAGATCCAAGAGCACAGTCGCAGCGAGCCCCACCAGGAGGAGGGGGTTGCACAGGACCTCGGACAGCCAGGGCGGGGGGGCGATGGCCTCCATGCTCACACCAAGACGTGACTTTTCTGAGCTGCTCCGTCTTGCTTCCTTGCGTCCCAGGATATACACTTCTCTTCACACTCAGCTTGGGAAACGTAAGTCCCTCTGCGCAGCACTGCAGTGAGCAGTAACAATACCGAGTTATCTTCTTCATTTTACTGCCCCTGTCTTTCCCCCAGAGAAGGATGATACTTACTTACAAGACTCCTGGAACTCTTGCGATCAATATACTTTTAGAGGCATCTTGTATTTTATGCACCTTCCTACATTTAGGGGCGACAATTCTGTCAGTTCATCTCTATGCACTAAATGAATTGTGAAAAACCTACTGGTTGGGGAGCTCATGCAGGATTCACTGGTGCTGGCTAGTGACCCCGAGCTAGGGACTCTGGGATGACTGATCCCTCATCCTGCCCTGCTGGTAGGTCTGGAGGGGCTCCTGGCGGTCTTCTGAGCCTCCATGATCCTGGAAGGCAGGAACGCCTCAGGTGTCCTGGAGGAACTGTGGCTGATATCCTGGCTCTGCTTTATTTGCTTATACGGCCAACAGGGAGACAAGAGCAGAATGGGTGAAGGAACTCTTAAATAGCCATCAAGTCTTAATTTGGCACTGCTCACCCCTTAACAAGATTTTTTCCCACCAAGTTCGCCAATTTGATTGAATTTTCACCCCATTTGTTTTATATCCTTCAAGAACCAGCCATGCAACTGGGCAGTTACGCTCTCTGGACCTTAGTTTTTCCATCTGTAAGTGGGCTCTAAAAATTCTTTTCCTGGGAAAAGTTAAATAGAACATGAAGAGCCCCAGGGACATGCATAGAAAAGGGAGAGGGGAAGCAGTCAGGGCAACTCTCACAGACTGAATATTCAAGACCCAAGTCATCTCAACTTAACAGCACCGAGATCTGGGGGTGAGAGAGAGACCTTTATCTTAGTCTAGGAAGAGAGACCTGGGCCTTTCAGGAGAATCAAGGTGCTTGGATCCTGAATTACTGAGTCACTAATCAAGTGGCTGTGTTAGTGACAACTGCAGAAGCTCTGGAGGGAGGGGCAGGGAGAGGAGCAGCAAGGAGAAGGGTGTGGGGGAGGAGATGTGCATGAAAGGGAAGCATTTACAGCATGTGGTGCACAGCAAAGAGCAACCAGGAGCATCAAGGGCACCAAATAAAGGTCCGGGGAGCAAAGGAAGAGATGGCGAAAAATTCATCCTGCTGGAAATAGACATGACTGCAGTCATGAAGAGGACTCCCGAATTCCGGGTGACCTGATTTGATTACGGCAACAGGAAGTGCAGGAGAGGGCAGAATAACCTGACCGGAGGAAGTGAATTGAATAATAGAGAAGACATCATAGTTGCTATGGTATTAAAATACCTCGCATCACATTAAGCTTCTTTTTTTTCTCTTTTGCTTGATTCTTGTTCTTGCAACATGTTAATGTCATTGCAGTATATCCAGTAAACTAAATTTAGATCTTTTGAGACATGGGGGAAGGGAAGAGGCAGCCCAGATCTCCCTATTTGGGTGCACTCTGGGCAAATATTCTTCCTCCCCAGTGTGCCTGGTTCTTTTGGTCCTTTCGTGGTGGGATATGAAAATCCTTGTCGGGCTTGGGTCTAGTGAAGCTGCCGAGTGACGTAATTTGAAAAAAAAAAAAGAAAGAAAAGTGGGAAACAATTTTCAAAGAGGCACCTGCTTTAGAAATTACTTCAGAAAAATCAGTAGGATGCCGAAATTTGAAAAACACAACTACCATCAAAACCAAATGTATTTTCCTAGGTATTATTTGATTTTATTGCTTTAAAAATTATTTTACTTGGCTATAATTAAGACTTTTAGGTCCTGCCATCATTCATATGCAAATGCTACCATGGCCAGGGGTGGGTATGTTGTGTACTCTTTTGACAGTACTGTATACTGAGTGAATAAAAGGGTATTTCCAGCTGACTTATTTACCACAAATAACACCACATTCATCAAGGCCCTGATCTTGTCCTTCCTTAAGTGGATTCACATTAATCAGACCTCAGAGACTGATGTATATACCCAAATGATGACCAACAGACCAGAAAATTCACGTTGTCATGGCAAGCACAGTCTTCCTTTGTAGATAAATATACTTGAGAAGACAAATTCCATCCAAATGTTTGCTTAGTTAGCCTAAAGTTAGAATAAATGAGATTAGTTGTGTGGTCCCCAAGAGAAATACTCCTGAAATTATGAGGCTGCCCACCCGCCCCACTCATCCCTGCTTAGATGGCCCTGCCAGCCTCTGAGACTTTGGGCTTCTTTTCTGC